TTAGTATGTTTGACTGGATCTAAATGTAACTTTAAAAAAATCTTTAGAGTTTTAAGGCAACAACAAGCTGTATATTCACAACAGATATGTCTAAGAAATAATCATATTATTTATATACCATAGTAAACAATAATAAACATATTAATGCCACAATATGAAAATTAGGGAAGAACATGAATAGGCACCCTCAAAGGAACTATAAATGATAGTCATATGAGAATGTGTTTATCCTCATCTCTAACCAAAGAAATAAAAATTAAAACAATAAGCCACTATCATTCTGCCTATAAAATAGCAAAATTTTAAAGTCAATCTAAATGCTAGTGGAAAATATGTATGAATGATTTTAATTCCTTTTTTAAAACTTCTAAATTTTGCAAATTTTCTACAGTGAACCTATATTACTTTTGTAATGAAAAAAATGAATGCCCTAAAATCTATATGGGTGTTTATTTAGTCTCTTCTCTCTAAGCACAAGACATGACTAAGAAGTGTCCAAATATTTATATGTATATATAAAAATATATTTATTTTACTTTATTTTATTTTTTATGACAGAGTCCCACTCAGTTGCCTGAGCTAGGGCACAGTGGTATCATCATAGCTCACTGCAACCTCAAACACCTAGGCTCAGACAATCCTCTTGCCTCAGCCTCCTGAGTAGCTGGGACTACAGGTGTGTGCCACCACGTGCAGCTAATTTTTTCTATTTTTGGCAGAGATGGGGTCTCACTCTTGCTCAGGCTGGTCTTGAACTCCTGACCTCAACAATCCTCCCGCCTCAGCCTCCCAGAGTGCTAGAATTACAGGCATGAGCCACCGGGCCCAGCTCAAATACTTTAATGTTTTTAAGTTGATTCTACTGATTAGATTTCCTATTTCCACTATATTTCAATTAATCTAAATATTATTTGTTCCTTGAAAATAGTAATTAACAAAAGCAGAGATTTCTCCAAGTTAATGACATCCTACCACAATATTTCACGGCCACAATAGGAGAGCACTCACCGTGATAAGAGCTATTTCGTGGAAAATGCTCTCTGGAAGGTCAGCCGCTTGTGCAAGTATAATTCCACAACTGAACTTTGAGCCATTGTCTGAGGTGCTAAGGTGAAGTGGTCTGGAACTGTTTAGGTTTCGGGGGAAATGGATTTGCCATAATAAAGGGAAACTTTAAGATAAATAGGTTATCAAGAAGGATGTACTTTTCTTTAGTGACAAATGTGTAGATTCTATCCATTGATTTCAAAACTTTGAAGTTAATCTCAGTATAAACAATTTTGACATTTTTGTGAAGATCTTCTAAAATAGAATCCTTAGAGAAGCAGAAGGTGACAGTCAAGTAGAACTTTATTATTACTCAAATTTAATACTTGCCAAACATCACTTTTTATAAGCAGTTTACTTACATTGTCTGGTTAATCCTTGTAATAACTCTCCAAGATAATATTTAATTATTCATTTTATAAAACAGGAGAAAATTAAGATGCAATGAGGCTAAATAGCCTGACCAAAGGTCCTCTGTAAGGACATGGAAAGGCAAAATTTGAGCCCAGGCAAGTATGCCTGCAAAGATCAAATTTGTACCCTGAACACTGTACCACTTCCAGACTACAGTTCAGTAATCTTGACCATTCCCCCAGCACTGACTCCCAGCTCCAGGTAGGGCATATATAGTCTAACATAACCTGCCCACCATACCCTTGCTTATGGGTGGCAAAGCAGAAAGAACTTGGGTTTAACATTCTAACTTGGATTGAATCTTTGATTCACTATTGTATTTTTAAGTTAGTTATTTCTTTACCTGTTAAATGGGGAAAAACTATTAATAATATTTTATTACTTAATAATAATATCTCAGAATGCTGCTATGAATATTGAGATACCACATGTGAAAGTGCTTAGAACAGTTCTTGGCAAATAATAGATATTTAATAAATATCAGTTTCCTTTCTTCCTTCCCTTGCAAGACAAAAGTCGCCCTTCCTTGCGAAGTCAGTTTACATGAAAATGCTTTCATGGCTCTCAGCCTAACACAGAATCCTTGGAAAATTAACTCATTAAACCCAATGGACCTTAGACATGGGATCCCAAAGGTTTTGTATATCCCAGGCTTTGGCAGGGCATACTGGGGGAAGCCAAAATAGAAGTCAATATACTTCTATATCCTTTCTTTTCTGGATTTGGGCAGACTTTTTATTGTCATGCAGTTTCTACAACTGTTGCTTCTCTTTCATCTCTCCTACATAACCCTGCCCCCAAATTCCAAAACATATTTTTACAGGTATTTTAGGACTCTAGCTCAAACTGCTTTTATGCCACTTCTCAAAGTTGTCTTACCATTTTCTGCTTCCCCCTTTTTCTCCTGCCATGCTCTCTAACCCTCTACCAAATATTTATTTAAGGAATTTGTACCCTCAAGACCAAGTCCAATGACTTCTACTTCATGCATCTACTCTGACCACTCTGGTTGGAAGAGACCTCACTATCTACTACACCACTCTAACATAATATCACTCCTCTGACAGATTGCAGACACTTTGTCTCTTGAGGCTGAAAATTGATTGAATGGAATATGGCTTAAAATGGCATCTGATTAGCAATCCCTAAAGCAACCTCTCTAAACTCACTGAAATATCTACAAAACCAGCAAAAGCTCAATTCTCAAAAATATACTAAAAATTAGGATCAATAGACAAATCATTATCAAAATCAGGAAAGATTTTAAATCAATTTAAAGGCCGGAAGAACTGGATTGAGAAACTTAAAAACTACTTTCCCACTAAAAAAAGATAAAAATTCTTGATCTGAAAGTAGAATCATTCTTTGCTCCTTCTCAACTGTTTGACTCCTACTCAGAAACAAAGAAGCCCTTTCAATCACCAACAAAAACAACCAAAAAAAAAAACGTGGAAGGCAAACATTTCTCTATCAAGTAGATAATATTTTATGGGGCATCCATAAAAATGAATGCTACCCCTTAATCCCTAACCTAGTGATCCAAAAGAGTTAAGAATAATGATAGGATGAGAAAAGGCTTTCCAGGAGCAAAAAAATAAAATAGGCATGCCAATATTAATTTTTTAAAAGTCAGATGTGAGGCCAAATATAAAATTAGTGGGAAATAAGGTAATATTGATAAAATTTAAAGTGAAGATATAATTATGAATCCCTTCAAATAACACAATGGCTGAAATCTATAAGGTGAAAACTGTTAGAAGTTAAAGAAAAATAATAAACACAATTATTATAGAAGACTCACATATCTATCTCTTTTTTCCTATAAATTCAATAGGAAAAAAGTAAGAAAGAATAGATTAGAATACAGTAATATCTTTAATAATATACAATAAATAAGGTTACATGTGTATACATATGTGTACATAGATGTGTACATATAGACACATATATACATACATAATCAAACTATTGCCAGCAAAAACATGTTAACTATGATAAATATTTATAAATATCTATGATAAATATTTAGAATATTTAGAAATATTTATCATAGTGTTTATCTCAAAGAAAGAATCAAGAAATTCCAACTATTATTAGAAGTCAAGCCATTCTCTAATTTCTCTAATTTCCATAAGTTTCAAGAAATCAATAAGGAAATCAAATGTCCAAACACATAAATAACCACCAAATTCAAGTGGAAAATTAAAACCTCAATTACAAATAATTTAGCAATTAACAAAAATGATGACATCGCATATCAAACTATAGAATGGTACCAAAGCTGCAACCAGAGGCAGATGCAGGAGTGAAAAATTGATAGGTTTTTGTTGTTGCTGTTGTTGTCATTGTATATTCTGATAATTTTCCATTCTTTAAAATTAAGCTCAAGCCATTGGAATATTTCTTAATGTAGTATTCCATAATTAGTATTAAAACACTATTCAGAGGAAATAATCTACTAGATCTAGTCTACCCTTACTGTCTTTACTCTTTTATTTTGACCTGTTGTCCCTTGCTCTCCACTTCCTTGAGACACCAATCACTTGGCACCATACTTGGCCTCTTGACACACACCAACAGCCCCTTCAAATCTAAGAATTCTTGTGGACATAGTCTCTGACTTTGATCCTCAGTCTCTCACATTTATAAATTCTCTCATATTTTATAGTTACTCCTTGGTTCTACAAGCTAATATTACTTGCAAAAGACACTCGCACTTTCTATACAAGACACAAGGAGTCTTATAAGTTTTTAGGACTCCACCCTGCCTCCCAACAAGAGTAGGGAAATTACAAAGGGAAGAAAAATTGGAGAGTCTATGATTTCTATGGCTTCCTATAAGTTTACCACACACACACACGCACATACACACACACACACACACACACACACACACATCATACACATAGACATGCAAATATACATATATAAATAAATAAAGGATACGGAAGCTATCTTTTAGGGATTCATTCAGAAGTTATAAAATATATATACATTTTTAAACTTTTAAATTTAATTTCAAAGGCAGTAACTGGAACTAAAATAATGAGATTATATTTTCCTCTGAGTTCTTCCCATGCCCAGAAAAATCATGAGTATATTATATTGAATGCAAAAATATTAGGTGGCTATATGATTTATATGCTGGACTCTCAGACATACGTATAAATAAAAGTTGGTTTGTGTAACACTTGATTTTTCAATTCAAATTGTTTACTTTTTCTAAATTTTTCACTTAATATTATTAGCCATCCTATGATTTCTGTAACAAGTGTATCTATTAATAAATTATAGTGTGTTTTCTCAATTCAGAGTTCTTTCCAACAGCAAAGTTGTCACTTTCCTGTAAAGAAACAATGGATAGTTGCTATGGTCAATCATGGCACTAAAAGAGAAATTATATTTGGTTGTTATTTCTGTAAATGTTCTCACTGAATTGTGTACATGTACAAGAAATTTCTGCAATCAAGTGAATCCATGTTGTACCAAAAAAAAATTCACGTGATGTTTAAACATAATAACATTCTTCTCCAATGCAGACGAGGGTCCAACGTATCTCTCACATTGGACATGAGCAGCTTGGGGAACGTTGAACCCTTTGTTGCTATTCCAACCCCTCGGGAGAAGGTGGCAATGGAGTACCTGCAGTCTGCCAGCCGAATTCTCACAAGGTCACAGCTGAGGGACATCGTGGCAAGTTCACATTTACTCCAGAGTGAATTCATGGTGAGCTTGCTATTTCCTTTTGATTCTTCAGTAGGTATTTTGATATAGTATAGACACATATGGAAGTGACACTGCCCTACGCTTATGCAGCTTACAAGAAACAAACGGTTACAGTTCAAAAGGTAAAGTGAAATGATTTTAGATCTACCTTCTGTCTCACCAACTGTGGCTAAGTGTTCACACTAGAATGTGATAGCTAAATTGAGTCAGAGTCTGGAGGAGCTGGCGAGGCTAAGAAGTGGCATGCAGGACCTGGGTAGGGAAAGGGCATTTCAGGACAAAGGAAAAGCCCTGTTTTCACTGGTTGGGGAATTGAATCGTTCAGTTTAACTGGAGCAGTGGAAGCAAGGTTTGAAGTGGCAAAGGTTGAGCCTCCAAAGTAGGAAAGAAACCCAAGTGTTTATATATATTTAGGAGTTTGGACTTTATCATGTGTTTTAGATCATTCTGTCTGTAGTGGAATAGGTACTAAACTGAAACAGTTTGGAGTCTCTAAAGATAATCCTGTGGAACTGTGATGGTGACCTAAACTAAGTTAGTAGCAGAGAAAATGGAGAGGCTCTATAAGACTATAAGGATCTACAAGGAGTGGACTTAATTGGATGAGGCAGCCAGAAGTAATGGAAAAGTCAGCCATGATACCAGTTTTTTGGCTCAAGCAACAGGGTGCATATGGTGCCCTTTGGTGAAATAAGGAACACATAAAGAAAACCAAGTGTGGGCTAAAAGTGATGGCAAGTTCAGTTTTAGACCTATCAGTGTTGCTGGCGTTAGTTTAATGAGTGATAACACACATCTACCCAGAGAACATGGAGTCAGAATAGATCTTCTTAAGTGTAATTGTTGCCCAAGAAGAATATTCATTTTATAGATCACCTTGCATTTCAAATCAGTTGTACCTCTTAAGCCATATTGGTTGAGGATAATAAATTGATTACTCTAGGGTCAGTTTAGATATTTGCAACCACGCTAATGGTAAAAGATTCAGTAATGTGTTAGATCTATTATTAGACCCATTAATTATTATTAAATGTCTAAAGTAAAATACAAACATGGTGAAATCAGACTTCATGGTGTATCATCTTTTTATATGTGAAGAAAATGTGATGGCTGTCATCCTAGCACTTTGGGAGGCTGAGATGGAGGATAGCTTGAGGCCAGGAGTTCAAGACCAGCCTGGGTAACACAGTGAGACCATGTCTCCACCAAAAATAAAAAATTTCTTTTTAATTAGCTGAATGTGATGGTGCACCTCTATAGTCCCAACTACTCAGGATGCTGAGGCAGGAAGATCACTTGAGCCCAGGAGTTTGAGGCTGCAGTGAGCTCTAATTGTGCCACTGCACTCCAGCCTGGGTGACACAGTGAGACCCCATCACAAAACGAAAAGATAAGACAAAAAATAAGCCCTGAATAGCCTACTTCTTTGGAAGGAAATATGAAGAAACAAGGAGTAGCCAGGAAAGAAATGATGCTGGAAGATGACAGATTGTCAGTGTGTGTCAGAAAACAGGCAGAGAGAAGGAAAAGGAAGGGGAGGAATGAAGATATTACCTACTTTGTGCATTTGCCAAAAGAGACTGACCTGTTTGTTGCCCAAGAAGAATATTCATTTTATAGATCACCTTGCATTTCAAATCAGTTGTACCTCTTAAGCCATATTGGTTGAGGATAATAAATTGATTACTCTAGGGTCAGTTTAGATATTTGCAACCACGCTAATGGTAAACATGTGTTTTCTATTGAATAGTCAACAATTTTGCTTATTTTGGTAACTCGGAACTGACAAGTTAAAGCATTTAGTTGAAACAAGAAATAGGGATGAATATCATAAATATCCAATATAATGTGAGTTTAGGAAAGGATGTTTAAAAAGTAAGCCGCTCCTTTCTGTAGACCAAATTTCAAATTCGTAACACAGTCTGGCTTTTCTCAAATTTTCAGGTTAACTGAAAATTAGGATAGTGTGAATTAATTTATAGATTATTTCTTTCTTTTCAATGAATGTTATTCTGTTGAGTTATACTTTCCATTGGAGAAAGTTTAAGTAATAAAAATGTTATTTTATGTGATCCAAGGATTTAATATTTAGTCATTAAATAACAAAATTTATTTCATTTCACATTAATCTTATTGCTTTAATTCTTTGCAGAATTTTAAGTTAGAGAATGTACTATTTTTTGTAATCAAATCTTTAAATATTCATTTGGACCCTTTTGAAAACATTGGCTCTTTCTCTGTCCCAGTCAACTGCCAATGCTCACCTTTTTAGGTCTAATGCATTTACACAGGGCCACTTCTGTTTCTGTTGTTCCCTCTCCAATCACTTGAGGCACATAATATGTGTTCTGACAGACTAAGAATATTTATATTCTTGTTAAGTGGGAGAAAAAGTCTCTGGATATCCTTCATTAAAAAATATTGCATTTATGACTACAAATGGAACAGTCCAATTATAAATCATTCCTTAATGCAAATTAAAAAATAATCATATCATCATCACTTAAATCAACAAAAAAGCCCTTTATATTTACCATTTGGGGAAGGAGGTTTTAATAATCCTAACAGTCACTATTAATGTTAAAAGACAATTTTTCATGGAAAAAAGTTTGGTACTGAATTTACATAGCGATTTGAATATATTTGAATACATTGTGGTTTTTTAAATCCATATTTTAGCACCTGTCTAATAACTCCAGCAATTATGTCACAACAGGATTCCTAAAATCTAACCAAAATGTTACATGCCTCTTTAACGACACGTATAAAACAATGCTTTCTAACACACACAGCTGTTTCTTAGAAGTCAGCTTGTCAGAGTGCAGCTGATACGTTTATGAAAGGAAGGGCATTGGTCAACCAGAGGTGGTAGTCTGTTGTTTTATAAATGACTTTGAAGTGCAATGGCGTTCTGGATCAGATGGTTCCCCGTGAACATTTTCTTTGTGGCAGCATTAGATACACTAATTTGCTATCATTTATTTTTGCAGGAAATACCAATGAATTTTGTTGATCCCAAAGAAATTGATATTCCGCGTCATGGAACTAAAAATCGCTATAAGACCATCTTGCCAAGTAAGTTTCTTGATTTAATAATTTGCATTGTTAAGCACAAGACATACCTTCCCTAATCACCCCTACCTCATCCTTTTCAATCCTTACAATTCCCACATACACACCATATTTGTAATTAGAAACACATACCAAGACTAAGTGAACTTCATTAAAATAAAAAGTCGTGTGCCTCCAAGGATACCCTCAATAAAGTGCAAAGAGAGTTCACAGAATGGGAGAAAATATTTGCAAATTATATATCTAATAAAAGACTTGTATCTACAGTTAAGAACTCTTAACAACTTAATAATAAAACACAAAGAATTCAATTTAAAAAACGAACAAAGGACTTCAATAGACATTTCTTCATAGAAGATATACAAATAGTCAATAAGCATATGAAAAGATGCTCAACAGCTTTAGGGGCAGGGAAACCAAACCACAACAAGGTTGGTGGTTGATGCCTATGATCACAATACTTTGGGAGGCCACAGTGGGAGGATCACCTGAGGCCAACAGTTCCAAGTCCAGCCTGGGCAACATAGTGAGACCCTGTCTCTACAAAAAAAATAATTTTAAATAATTATCCCTATGTGATGGCATGTGCCAGTAGTCCAGCTACCTTGGAAACTGAGGCAGGCGGATCACTTCAGCCCAGGAGTTTGAGGCTGCAGTGAACCATGATTGTGCCACTGCACTTTAGCATGAATGACAGAGACCCTATCTCTTAATAAAAATAAAAAGGACACACACACAAACACACAAGATACCACTTTATATTCACTAGGATGAGTGTAATAAAAAAGATAGACAATTTTTTTAATGTAGGGAAATTGGAAACTTCATACATTGCTAGTAGAGATGTAAAATGGTGCAGCTACTTAGGAAAACAGTTTGTCAGTTTTTTAAAAGGTAACACCTAGAGTCACTATATTACCTGAACATTCCACTTCCAGGCATAACATACAAGAGAAATGAAATGTGTGTCCATACAAAAATTGTACACAACATATTTATAACAGCATTATTGATAATAGCTAAAAAGTGGAAACAACCCAAATGTCCATCAACTGAATGGGTAGATAAAATGTAGCATACCCTCACCATGGAATCAATGAAAAAGAACAAGGTGCTAATGCATGCTACAACATGGATGAACCTGGAAAGTGTTATGCTGAGTGAAAGTAGTCACATCACACCTCGTATTTTATAATCCATTTATGTGAAATCTGCAGAGTCAGAAATTACCTTAGTGGTTGCCTAGTGTTAGAGGGAGATGATGGATGATTGCTAAAGGGTCTGGTGTTTATTTGTGGGCTAATGAAAATGTTACAAAATTGATTATGGTGGTAATTGTACAACTCTATTAATTAAAAAAAAAAAGACTGCAATGGCACACTAAATGGGTGAATTGTATGGCATGTGAACTATGTCTAAATAAAGCTATAATCAAAAATCCTCCTTGTGCATAACAATCACCTGGAGTCTTTGTTAGAAATCCTGGGATTTTGTTTAAGTAGATCTGCTGCTGAGCCCAGAAAACTACTTCTAGCAAGCACCCAGGTAAGTCCAATGCAGACGAAACCAGAACCACACCTCAAGAAACACTACTACATATTAAAACTAAATTTTGCTCCATGAAATTTATCAATGTCCAATGAGCTGGATGCTAGGGACCAGTGAGGAATAAGAAACGGTCTATAAAATCAAGGAGGTCATGGACTAGAAAGGAGAGTCATGTAAACAAATAACTATGATCAGTGTCCTAAGGTCCAGAATAGAGATATGGCCTAGATGGTGCAGGAGTTCATAGAGGACTGAGTAATTAATTCCTCCTACAGCAAGCAAAAAGAAAACTTCTCCAAAAAAACTTTGGAGAAGTTAAATTTTCTATCACTAAACAAACAGAGGTGGAGTTTTGGCAAAACCTATAATCTGGAAAGATGGAGCCACAAATAATTTTTTTGAAGAATTGGCATTGAAACAGTAGTCTTGGCCAGGCATGGTGGCTCACGCCTATAATCCTAGCACTCTGGGAGGCTGAGGCGGGAGGGTTGCTCAAGGTCAGGAGTTTGAAACCAGCCTGAGCAAGAGCAAGACCCTGTCTCTATTATAAACAGAAAGAAATTAATTGGCCAACTAATATATATATATATATAAAATTAGCTGGGCATGGTGGTGCATGCCTGTAGTCCCAGCTACTCGGGAGGCTGAGACAGGAGGATTGCTTGAGCCCAGGAGTTTGAGGTTGCTGTGAGCTAGGCTGATGCCACGGCATTCACTGTAGCCTGGGCAACAAAGTAAGACTCTGTCTCAAAAAAAAAAGAAAGAAACAGTAGTCTTCATAATTTAGTCCATTAATTTGCTCATAAGAATTCTCCATATTTATAGTAATAGCGATACATTAAAATCAAGTAAAGAATTACTATTAATGGTATCTGTAGGCTTCCCCTTCTGGTGGAATTGAAAATGCATTGTTAAAGTTATTCCATTATAACATATTTTTACGTGGTCTATGTAGTTAAATCTATTTACCTAAAGTATAGTCAATGTTGAACGATATTACTAGACCTGGTTGAAGAGGGTGAAAGTGCTCCGTGTTAGTACTGCTGTTCCTCTTTCTCACTCTCTCTCTCTCTCTCTCTGATAAAAATTTCATCTAAAATAGTCCAAACATAAATAACCAGGGTATACATCACAATTACTATCTATGCCCAAACAATCATCTAGTTTGAGAAGGATTTGGAAATTATCAGGATTATTTTAAAGTCCAGCCTTCTCCATTTCCTGCCCAGATGATATCAAACAGCCGCTTCATAGTCCTGTGTCAGCTTTTCCATTCCCAGAACTGGGTGGACCGCTTGAACCAGGGCACCTGTGCTGACAACTGATGTTGCACATGATGGATTTTCTGCTGAAAATGTCTGCAGCCTGAATGCCCCACCCACCCCCTGGTGTACACAAAATATAATTTAGGAAATATAGCTTGGACAACACACACTATTGCTTGAAAAGTATCCAAAAAGACTGGAAGACTAGGCAAGGCTGTTCTTTTTGGTTTATTTTAGACTGTGATATGAAATAAACTTGAAACATTACATAAAATAATGATTAGCAGATGATCAAGACTTTAAATATTATGATTGTTTTTCTTGTTTTAACCCACACTAAATTCCTCTTAGGTTTAAAAGTTTGCTAGCTTGTACATAATATCAACATCATAAAAGTTGGAGTATGCTTTGCAGCAGATATATGTGCAGCCAAGAATCAATTAAGTTGTAAATTAAATTATAGCCATCTCTGAGGACAGTATCAGCCAGGCTCAGAACACTCTGAATGGTAGATTTAAATGCCAATGTCAAGTTTATATCAAATTATTTTGTAATATAAATAAATATTCGTGATAAAAATACATCTACATCCTAAATCACAAAATAATGGGAAAAAACCAATCATATATCAATATGAAATTATTAGCACATAATGAAGTATAATACTATAATAATAAATTTTATATATTTTTCTTCCATATAGTCAACTTTTTTATACAAATATAAGACAATATAGACAAAATTAAGAAACTCTACTTATACAGGCCATTATTTCATATTTAAAAATGTAATGTCTAGTAATGTTTCTTGATTAAATTATGTTTCCTCTTTTATTATATTAAGTGCCTAGCACAGAGTAAGTTCACAAATAAGTAAATCACTCATTAAAGCAACAAGTTGTGTAGCTAAAGCGAGATATTAGAATTAGATTTGACTTCCTACCCCAGCAAAAACATTTACAATTTTGGGCAGGTTACTTAATCTTCCTGTACCATCCTTTCTTCATCCCTAAAAATGCTGATAATATACTATCCTACAAAGCTACTGAGAGAATTAAATAATAGTATGAATAAAATGCCTACCCAAGTCCCAGCTAATCATAAGCTCTTAGCTAATGTCAGTTTCTCCTTTCTCTTCCTACTTAACTGAAGATGAATGTGTCATTAACCCCAGGCCCAATTCCAGGAAATAGGGCAACATCCATATAGAGACATGTTCACAGTTTCAAGAGCAAAGTACTCAAGGGCCCTATTTTCTCTTGGAATTTTCACATGGTTCTTAAGAAGTAAATATTTATGTAGTCACCATCTTCCATTGCCAAGGTGGACTCTCCCACAGTGAGGGGAAAATGGTTTGTATCTCCATTACAGTAGACACAAGCCATATGTGGCAATTGAGCACTTGAAATACAGCCAATGAAGAACTAATTTTTAAGTTTTATTTTATTTTAATTAACTTAAATTTAATTAGCTACATGTCACAAGTGGCTACCACATTGTACAATGCAGGCCTGGAGTCTTCTCTCTTCTTGCAAGAAGTCTGAAGGTGACTTGTGATCACCTAGAAGAAGGTAAAGGTGTGACCGGGCCCTGCTTTTCTCCCGTTTCCCATTTACCTGGATTTCATCTATGAAAACCATCCTTTTTCCTCCCATTCATGCCTTTGCCCATCACTTGCAGTGATACAGTTTCCCCCCATCCCATCTAATAATAATTACTTCTTTTGACTTCAAACCTCAAGCGCGTTTCTTCCTAGAGAAGAAATCTTAAGCACAAGGATAGCCTTTGACAAAATCTGCTATAATACCAACCAAAATGTCTGGATCTGAGTACTATTTTGTCTGTTATGTAAAAGACTTAAGATTTCCAGAAGGTATTTTAGGGAGACTAGGATGGGGACATTTTCTGTGTTCTATACACCAAATTTATATATATGTTCAATAAAGTTGAGAGCAAAGAGAAAAAGGGAAGAGGGAAGAAAAAATAGAAGGAGGGAAAGAAGAAGAGGAAGAAGTAAGAAGAAAGAAATAAGGAAGGAAGGGAGTGAAAAAGGAAGAAAGAGAAAGGAAGGAGAAAAATAATCCTTGGCTTTTTTTTATTAGTCCAAGCTAACATATTAAAAGGACTTTGGTTAAATATCTACATTTTCCCATACTCACTTACATGTTGCATCCTTGCTTTAAAAATATAT